CAATTTTTCAATGTTCAGGACGATCAATCGTGGGCTTTTAGCGAAACCGTTCAAAAAATTTCCCATACGTCCAGCCGGTTCTCATTTTTAGTGCGAGCTGTCAGTGTGGTCGAGTGTTAGAATGAACTTTAATGGAGATACGCTTCAACTTAATAACGAATTTATTATCATTATTTTTTGTTATTTAATGGTTCCGGTTATAACGATGTGTAATCTTATAAAGCGTTTGATACGCGCGACATTTCTAAGTACTCCTGCAAGCGATGTTCATGAACGATAAAAACAAACACCACGGACAAGCGATTAAAATTGCAAGAGAGACTACTAACAATCAATAAAAGAAATATAATTCGGTAAAACATTTACAGAGACAACAATTTTCATTCACGAAGACAAGTATTAAAGTGTCTCTAAAAATCCTGAGCCGTTTAAGCTTAAAGCTTAAGCTTAAGTTTATTTTGTTTTACTTTCAGCCGGCCTCCCGGTGTTTGTTTTTTTTTTTCAAAGATGAACTCCTCGAAGTAAGAAAGTCACTCAAAGTTTTCTTTCTACAGCCAAATTTATAACTAAATATTCTTCGGAACGTTTTTTTTCGATTAATTTTGCCGTGAGAAAATATATCTGAAGGCCTTTTAAAGTTATATCAAACCTGACACTAGATTAGATCATTGACCCAAATCTTGCAAAAACTTGCCGCATAAACTGTGCTCGACTTCATGAAATTAGATATAACAAAAACAAACATCAAATACAATAATTACTCAGGCTTACCATTCGAGATTCAGTTCCTGAAAGATATCAAGGAAGGCCATAGTTGCTTGAGACTTTTAAACCCTCTTACGCATTGAGCAAGGTGAAAGACGAAAACGATGCCATCCGAAATCGGATTACCCAATTTTGACAAGCGACGCATTTCTCAACCAAAAACCCAATAAACAAACAAGCCATGGATAACAGAAGACTCTTGATAGCAGCTGTATTTCATTTTGTACATCCAGTGGAAAAAGACAGTTAAAAACATCACAAGTTGACACAAAACTCTGTCAGCTTTAGCTGTCAAAGTAAACAACTTTCAAGATGCTGCATAAATTTTCGCATGAACTCATCTGTCAAATTTTGACCAATCAGAGTACAAAAATTGGACGTAGAACGTGACCAACGCGTGACCATGGTAAGAAAAGGTCTTCCCAGCCTTTATTTTTAAAAAAGTGGCTGAATTTTCGCGTCCGAGGTCAGTTTGAAATCAAAATCTTGACAGTGCGGGGCCATAGTGACATAAACAAAACATATTTCATATGAATCATTGGAAAAAATAGACTTGAGCCTGCGATCATTTGAAACTGGTAATTTGTCAGCGGATAACTTCAAAAAAGTACTCGACCTCGATGGATCGACACTTGAGCCCGCGCTACGGTCAGGTTATACTGGTCAGCGGATATCCTGTTTTGACAGCTGTCAATTCATCACAACATTCATGTGCAATTAGTTTTCTATTGGGCTCCCAAACTAGCAAGAAAGTGTGAGAGTAAACATTGGTTACCCTGTGGTGCGGACGGACGGTCGTACGGTCACGTGATTACCAAATTTTCTCGGATGGGTAGATTACCACATTTCCTTAGCTATGGGGCTCCGTCCACGCGCGCGCTTTGCGCGCTCGTGGAGCTCCGCTATTATTAAATTCTGATACTCTGTAAAACCTTCGCTATCTCTACTAAAAACTTATTTATAATAATATCAAACTCTAATGTTCTATAAAAAATCTAAGTAAAAAAGTCAGCAAACTTGGGTTTCTAGATTCCTAGAGAAAAAACAAAAACCTAAAAACTGAAGTCCATAGCGCCCTAACTAAGTATTTATCTTAAATGTTCTGGCAATGTTTAAAGTGTTTGAGATGACCGACTTCTGCATCCGCTCAAGTACACTCCGTGCTCTCGCTCCAAGTAGCTTCCTCACCGACTTCTCTAGGTGTTTAGAGTAACCCTCCAGTACGTCAATTATTACGTTGTACTGTTCAACCCTGTAACCATTGTATCTCTGCTTAAGCTCCCACATCATGGGCCCATACTTGAGTGTCTTTTCCTCGTCTTTTTTAGCTCTACTCTCAATCCATGGGCAGCTCATTTCAATTGTGCAGACTTCTTTCCTCTCGTGGCTGACAAGTCGCGCGTCGATCCGATTTGCTCTAACTTCGTTGTGCTCTGCATAGATGGGAATATCCCAAAACGCCTCACTCGTGGTGTTCTGGTAGGCTGGTTTTGGCATCACCGGTGAGTACCATGGTGGAGCCTCTTCCATTAACCCATGCTCTCGCAGGCGCTCAAAAAACAGAATCTTCAAAGCTGCATTATGCCTGTAAAGGTACTTGGTTTGTGCTTGGTTTTTTATTATTATTATTATTATTATTATTATTATTATTATTATTATTATTATTATTATTATTATTATTATTATTATTATTATTATTATTATTATTACGGTAGTGAAACGATTCGTAGGCGAATCGACCTATAAAAAAATGATAGAAAACGTTACATCACGGGCGCCCAACTTTCCCTTGACCTTGTCTTCGAGACATCCCTCCGATCTCAGAGCCTGGCTTGCATGGGCTACTTGATACGTTTGTTAATGAAGTGTTGTTCATATTAATGTACTGTATACAACTCGATTGCAATTTTTACTTTTTTTCTGACTTAACCTTGTTGGCCGCGAATTTACGAAACATTCCTAACTTCCAAGTTATTCGGCACCATAGATCTCAACTATTGTTTGTTTCACTCCCAGGAGTGGGAGACGTTAAAATCCGCCCAAAATACCAAAGAGGCTTAAAAACAAAGTGTACCGTGACATAAAATTGACGACGAAGAGGTTTCGTTGGAAAGCTAACGATTGGATTGCGTCCACATACTCAAAATTTAGAGCCACCTTACGAAGACTCCATCATTCACTCTGAGGTTAAAAGTGTTAAAAACAACAGGCGATTGTAAAGGAACAACTGATATGATGCGCCTTATCGTAAGAACTCATAAATTTTGCTGCTGGTGTTTGATTAAAGAGACAATTGTAAACAGGGGCACCCAACGGCCAAATGTTTCCAAATACGCCAAAGTGTCTCAGATGGTTTTCACTAATGCTTTAGAAGCCTGTTTGGTTAGTTTGGAGCTGCCCTAAAAACTATTTATCTGTTCGGATGTCTTAGGGGAACTTTCGTCGTCACGAAAGTTTTAGGTGGCTTTTTCGTCTCATCCGAAAGTGTTAGCTACCCTTATGGGTCCAGTCGAAAGTCTGAGGAGATGAAGCAGCCTTGCTTTCATGGGAAAATTATAGGGGACATTTTGTCGTTATACCGAACGTTTAAGGAGACCATTTTTAACAATAATCGCAATATCTTGGTATTAAAATGCGAATAATACAACCTCCGAAAATCGTAGTTAAGCTATTAGAAAACCTCCCAATATTTTAGACGAATGGAACGGTTATCCAGGAATTTGTAGCTTTTCTCAAGCTTTAGAAATTTCTAGACAATATTTGTTCCTTCCAACAGTTATTTTACAGAAAAAAGTCGCTGGGTGCCCCTGTGTAAACAGCGATCTTTTTCTCATACAACGTTGGGCTGCCAGCAAACCTATTCAAGTGAAATCGTTTTTAATAAGTGAAAGTGCATCCGTTTACAATAATGGCGATGACAAATTAGTTGGTAATAGTCTTTCTTGCCTTTGTCACACAAACTAGGCTCAATCATATAGACGTTTTCTTCAGTGTAGTGATTTCCGTATGCCATTAATTTTTCAATTCACAGTTTGTTTTTTCCAGTGGGTGAACTATGTGATCTAGTATTACAGTACAGCATACAGCAGGCTACACACAAGCTACTTTAGTAATCAATCACGAGCAGGAGTGTTTGTCAGGTTTTTGAATTGATGAATGTTTGAAACACGAACCGCATTTCAGACTGCAAGTTCATTGAACAGCATAAAAACTAATATTAAAACTGAACATGAAATTCCTTTTTTATTTCTTTTATAAGTTCTTTTCAAATATGTGTACCTTAAGTTACCTTAAGTTGTGTACCTTATCTGGTGCCTTTGTGTACCTTACAAGTTTTCATAGCGCACAAGCTTTGAGTTATTGAAAGGCATAGAAAATTAAATATAAAAATTTAATATTAAACACCTTTGTCTAATTCTAAATTAATGTCGAAAGGCGTAGAAAATGAAATACTAAAGTTTAATAAATAAATAATAAACAAACTCTCCGTTATGTACTATAACAAAAATTATTAAAAACTGTACTTTCATGATAATAAAAAATTCTCCTGACTACCTCTGTCCCTACTTCTGTTCTTACTTTTGGCAGATGCAAGTGATAGCTTTGTTTTAATTCTTCCGTGTTTTCCCTATGATGTTTAATGTAATTCAGATCTTGACTTAATAATGAGGCATTGTCCTTCCAGATCCTTTGTAAGTCAATCTTGTGTACTTTGTTTACCTTAGTGATAGTGTTAGTATGTAGTCCCGCGTTTAATTATCTATTACACAATAGTCTCCGAAAATGACAGGCTTTTATCGCATAAACGCATGCTCATAAACTTTTGGCGGGGAGGAGCGAGCTGCATTGCAAGTCACTGCAATTGTTAGGCGACGAGACAGTGCCGATGATTATCAAATAGAAGTAAAAAACAATTGGTGTAGTATGTAAATGTAAACTTCATCAAGTTTAGAGAAACGCTGCGGTTAGTGGCTGCAAAACTCTGCGGAAGTCAGTCTACATCATTTGCCTTTTCCGCACTTCGGTTCCAGTTCCCATCTCCCTTCAGTCTTAAGTGGCGATTTCAAGTTGCACTGGGTCAAGTATTTAGTCGATTGCTTGGATTCACCTGAAATCAGTCTCCATATTTCAAATGCTTCCGCTGTCGATTTAGTTTGCGGCATCTTCTTGGGTCAGTTCACTCTCCTTTCTGTTAGAGACGTGCATTGCATCGGTGGTTCTTATTTTCTTATATTATGTCGACCAGCAACTTGAGCAACGTCTCATCAAGCGAAAAGGATTTGGATTGTGGAGCATTATATGAGCCATATGTGTTCAAAATAAGTTTGATAGTTGTCTACTGTACGGTCTTGTTAGTTGGCTCGACTGGAAACGCCCTTATAATCACCTTGGTGTACAAGCGGAAAGACTTAAGAAAGACTATAAATCAGCTTATCGCCAACATGGCATTTTCTGACTTTGTCTTTCAGTTAACATTCATTCCAGTTGAGTTGGCAAAGGCAGCGTATGGTCAATGGCCAATCGCTGAACTGGCCGGATCAATTGTCTGCAAGATCCAGAGTTTTGTTATTTCTACCTCTGTCTATGTTTCTGTACAAAGCCTAACTTGGATTGCATTAGACCGGTTTATAGCTGTAGTCTTTCCAATGAAAGTGCATCTGATTTCCTCCAGATTTCNCAATCTTGTGTACTTTGTTTACCTTAGTGATAGTGTTAGTATGTAGTCCCGCGTTTAATTATCTATTACACAATAGTCTCCGAAAATGACAGGCTTTTATCGCATAAACGCATGCTCATAAACTTTTGGCGGGGAGGAGCGAGCTGCATTGCAAGTCACTGCAATTGTTAGGCGACGAGACAGTGCCGATGATTATCAAATAGAAGTAAAAAACAATTGGTGTAGTATGTAAATGTAAACTTCATCAAGTTTAGAGAAACGCTGCGGTTAGTGGCTGCAAAACTCTGCGGAAGTCAGTCTACATCATTTGCCTTTTCCGCACTTCGGTTCCAGTTCCCATCTCCCTTCAGTCTTAAGTGGCGATTTCAAGTTGCACTGGGTCAAGTATTTAGTCGATTGCTTGGATTCACCTGAAATCAGTCTCCATATTTCAAATGCTTCCGCTGTCGATTTAGTTTGCGGCATCTTCTTGGGTCAGTTCACTCTCCTTTCTGTTAGAGACGTGCATTGCATCGGTGGTTCTTATTTTCTTATATTATGTCGACCAGCAACTTGAGCAACGTCTCATCAAGCGAAAAGGATTTGGATTGTGGAGCATTATATGAGCCATATGTGTTCAAAATAAGTTTGATAGTTGTCTACTGTACGGTCTTGTTAGTTGGCTCGACTGGAAACGCCCTTATAATCACCTTGGTGTACAAGCGGAAAGACTTAAGAAAGACTATAAATCAGCTTATCGCCAACATGGCATTTTCTGACTTTGTCTTTCAGTTAACATTCATTCCAGTTGAGTTGGCAAAGGCAGCGTATGGTCAATGGCCAATCGCTGAACTGGCCGGATCAATTGTCTGCAAGATCCAGAGTTTTGTTATTTCTACCTCTGTCTATGTTTCTGTACAAAGCCTAACTTGGATTGCATTAGACCGGTTTATAGCTGTAGTCTTTCCAATGAAAGTGCATCTGATTTCCTCCAGATTTCGTGTTTTGGCCATTGCTTCCTCGTGGATTGTTGCCCTTTTGTGCGGCTCTGCATCTTCTGTTCATTCGAAAGTCGTACACAAAAATGGTGCACTTGTCTGCACAGAGGAAACAACTCCAATTTCTCAATATGCTGGAGCCACTGGTTCCTTTGCTTCCTTGATTTCCGTAACAATTTTATACTGCACTATAGCAGTAACTCTACGAAGGAAAAATAAAGCGCTCCCTACTTCCACTGTGAATGGAAACATTCAAAGAAAACGGCAAGCCATGAAAATGTCCATTTGCGTCGTGGCAGCCTTTTATTTATGTTTTATCCCTGTCATTATTATTGTCTTGTTTTCAGAAAGAGTACTGGAAAGATCATGCTTTTTTACTCAGAGTCCTAAGGCCATTAACTGGCCTGATGACCAACCTATCAAGCTCAGCAAATCCAATGATCTGTTTCATCTTTGTCGAAAACTACCGGCGTGGCCTGAGAGAATTTTGTGGTTCGTTTCTTATTAAATGCTCGAAGAGAAGACAAAACATTGACTGTGGTCCAAAAGGAATAACTCTTCAGAGTATAAGGTTCCTACAAAACTCTAATAGTAATTAATTTAACATTTAATGTTTCTTTTCTAAATAAAAAGCTTTTTCCTTAGCTCCTGGTTGGTTAGCCTGTGGAAGGCTCCAAGAAAGGTAATGTGGAGAGATTGTGATAACTGTACGGTCGTTTACGTCGCCAACACCCTGTTCGCTAACGACTTAAAAGTCGTTTCGCGTTCGTGTTGGGTCAGTTCTGAAACTGCTTTCGTCTGATCAGTAGCTGAATGAACGAGGTAAATGCATGCGTGTCGCACTTCTTCTTATCGTGGATGAGAGAACGAGGTATATACATGCGCAGCGCTCGTTTCGGTTCTTAAGTGGAGCGACATAAGACGTTAGTGAACGGGATGGTAGTTGAACGATTCGTAGGCGAAACGGCCGGTGACCAAACTGATATGAAAACGTTAGATCACGGCGCATTCCTTCCCTTGACCTTGTCCTCGCGAAGTCCCTACGATCTAAGAGCCTTGTACGTCTATTAATAAAGTGATGTTTATATTAATGTACTTTATAGTACTCGATGGCAGTTATGACATTTTTCCTGACTTAGCCTTGTTGCCCCCGAATTTACGAAGCATTCCTAACTTTTCAGTTATTCGGCACCATAGATCTCAACTATTGTTTCTTTCACTCCCAGGAGAGGGAGACTGAAAAACAAAGTGTACCATGACATAAAATTGACGACGAAGAGGTTTCGTTGGAAAGCTAACGATTGGATTGCGTCCACGGACTCAGAATTTAGAGCCATTTTACAAAGACTCACCATTCACTCTAAGGTTAAAAGGGTTAAAAACAACAGGCGATTGTAAAGGAACAACTGATATGATGCGCCTTATCGTAAGAACTCATAAATCTTGCCGCTGTTGTTTAGTTAAAGAGACAATTGCAAACAGGGGCACCCAACGGCCGAATGTTTGCAAGTACGCCAGAAGTGTCTGAGATGGTTTTCACTATGCTTTATAGAAGCCTGTTTGGTTAATTTGGCGCTGCCCTAAAAACTATTTTTCTGTTCGGATGTCTTAGGGGAGCTTTCGTCGTCACGAAAGTTTTAAAGGTGGCTTTTTCGTCTCATCCGAAAGTGTTGCCTTCCCTTATGGGTACCATCGAAAGTTTGAGGAGATGAAGCAGCCTTGCTTTCATTGCAAAATTATAGGGGACATTTTGTCGTTATACCGAACGTTTAAGGAGACCATTTTTAACAATAATCACAATATCTTGGTATTAAAATGCGAATAGTACAACCTCTTAAAATCGTAGTTAAGCTATTAGGAAACCTCCCAATATTTTAGACAAATGGAACGGTTATCCAGAAATTTGTAGCTTTCTCAAGCTTTAGAAATTTTTAGACAATATTTGCTCCTTCCAACAGTTATTTTACAGAAAAAAGGCGCTGGGTGCCCCTGTGTAAACAGAGATCTTTTTCTTATACAACGTTGGGCTGCCAGCAAACCTATTCAAGTGAAATCGTTTTTAATAAGTGAAAGTGCATCCGTTTACAATAATGGCGTTGACAAATTAGTTGGTAATAGTCTTTCTTGCCTTTGTCACACAAACTAGGCTCAATCATAGACGTTTTCTTCGTTGTAGTGATTTCCGTATGCCATTAATTTTTCAATTCACAGTTTGTTTTTTCCACTGGATAAACTATGTGATCTAGTATTACAGTACAGCATACAGCAGGCTACACACAAGCTACTTTAGTAATCAATCACGAGCAGGAGTGTTTGTCAGGTTTTTGAATTGATGAATGTTTGAAACACGAACCGCATTTCAGACTGCAAGTTCATTGAACAGCATAAAAACTAATATTAAAACTGAACATGAAATTCCTTTTTTATTTCTTTTATAAGTTCTTTTCAAATATGTGTACCTTAAGTTACCTTAAGTTGTGTACCTTATCTGGTGCCTTTGTGTACCTTACAAGTTTTCATAACGCACAAGCTTTGAGTTATTGAAAGGCATAGAAAATTAAATATAAAAATTTAATATTAAACACCTTTGTCTAATACTAAATTCTAAATATTTTAATGTTGAAAGGCATAGAAAATGAAATACTAAAGTTTAAAAAATAAATAATAAACAAACTCTCCGATATGTACTATAACAAAAATTATTAAAAACTGGACTTTCATGATAAAAAATTCTCCTGGTCACTTCTGACCTTACTTCTGTTCTTATTGTT